AAGAAGGGAAAACTCCGTGAATCTGGCCGCGTGTACGACGTGAAGGAGGTCCGTTTCGACGGACAAGTGGATGTCACGGAGCGCCGTACTCCGCTAACAAAATTAAGCGCGCCCGCAAAAAAATGTAGTTGGCGTTGAGTCGACTGTAGTAATTATGTACGTTTATTTCTGAATCAGCTTGACAATAAGTGGGCGATTTTTTTCGCGCCGTTCCGCGATTCCCACTGTAGGCTGATGGAAACATCCAAGGGTAGGCTTAGGTGGGCGACCGCATTCCGCTTCTCGACTCCGGTGAAGTATTTGCTGCATAGTTTAGAGTTTGCCGTCGGTGTCGATACTGTTGCATCGTCGCTAGAATAGAAAAAAGGTTAATTGTATTATTCGTCAGCAGCTTAAACAAAGCGCGAGCTGGAAAGTGAGAAACGCCACTAACCTGTATGGACGCACAAGTCGCACCCAGATCGCGCAGTACTCCGCCTCGTACGGCTTCGAAGGGACGATGTAGTACTACGTGCAGTGCGCGATCTTCGACGTACTGTTGCAGCCGACCACGCAGCAATTGTTGTGGCTTTCTTGGTGCGGAATAGCCATCTCAGAAATTACAGCGCTAACCAACTTCAACGCACAACCAACGCAGCGACTGGCAGAAGCTCCCCGATACAATGGACCCGTTTGCTGCTAGGGGCGCCCTGGTCGGGGCTTGAATTAGATGCGCACGGTTCCTATACGTCATCCCTTTTTGGCGCCTCGCAGCGTCGTCCTACTCCGTGGCAGAGGCACGGAGGCTTCGTTCTCTCATCACGAAAGCTCGCAGGTGTGCAGCGGAGCGGAGGACGGAGTTTCTCGGGTTGTTGACGTCACGATATCTGTTCGCGGACTTCTCCTTCCTGTGGATACTCCTTTACGTGTAGGAATGCGAAAGCATAAATGCCTGTTCACACATGCAGCGGAGCGCGACAAGCATAGCGCTGACCTTGGCGTTAAAGGGACCATGAAATGACTTTTTTACTTTTTCCACATAACTTTTACAATAAACCGTCAATGTTCACTGAATGCCGAACAGGCATCCGTTTTCGTCTCGGTTTATTAACTTCTACACAAAAAATTAATGAAATATCGACTTTTTCTTGACCGCAAAACAAGCCGTGACGTACGATGTTTCCGGAACCGGAAGTTCTCTCTGCAGTAGGAGATGGGAGCGTTAGCGAGTTGGGGTGCGCCGGTGGGTTTTACTGCGCCGATGTCACCGACGTATTTTCTGAATCGGCGCCTCTCATCGCCGCATCGCAGCTGAACGAAATTCAATGAGATACGTTGCGCTACAGCGACAGCATGGGACTAGTCCCATACGCCGGTATGCCTGTTGGGAAGTGCAGATGGGAACAATTTGCCGCGGCGTTTTTCGCGGTCTCGGAGATGCAGGAGCGAGCCGACGTTAAAAAAGATACGTTTGAACTGTCAGCAAGAGCCACGTAAATATCTGTTCACACTCGGAGCGGACGCGCGCGTTTGATGAAGTGCTGTATTCGCGCTGTTGGTAAGCGCTTCGGGACCGATCTTTTACAATTGCAACTCGATACTGACGCGACACTCGGCAAAGAAAGGTTGGACCGGTATTGCACGTATACCTCCCACGAACTGTTACAGCTCGACAGTGACGTGCAGTCTGTCAGAATAAAAATGGCATACCAATAACAAAGTGTACATACCGTGCTACGAAGGTAATCCATACAGCGTTTATTTCAGCTCTATATCACACAAAACAAGGAGAGGATCGACGAGGGTCCCTTTTCGACGAGTGTTCGTCAACACTGCCTCGGAAAACAAGGGGAAGAGATTGACCTCACCTCTTAACCTAAAATTGAGGTCAGCGATCAAACTATAATACGGAAGGGTCCACAAGGGTAGCGCGGGCATATTCCATTCAGTACGCCAGCCGGTCGTAGGCAGACGGTCTTGCGACGAAGCAACGCTGCGCCGAGTCGGAGTGCCTGCTAGGCCTATATTCTGAGAGTTTCGTCGGAGCGGGATTCGCGGCTGTTGTCGCTCTTCTCGGGTGTTTGTGGATCCAGCGTTCTTGTTCGTCGTGGTTTGTTTTAAGTACATTTCTTTCTTGCTGCTTGAAGTCGGCACGCGCGAGATGAACACGTAGAAAAATAAACGTTCAGTCAGTCAGAGTTTTGAGAGGAAGGAAACCAAAGGAAATAACCATTCTGAACTTGGCCCTGCCCTACTGCGCACGCGCAGTAGTTGCTTCGTTTACCACACGATAGATGGCGCTCGGCTCTCAGCATTATCAAATTTGGCAATTTTCGCCACACATCTCTAATTATGCTACAAAATGTGGATCTGAATATTATTTAACAAAACTTTTAGGAAACATTCGCCGGCTATTTATTGTTTACGATCGCGGTGCTGGTGAGGTAGGCTCTTACCCAATAGGCGATGTGGATTCGGCTGACGTGCACCGATTCTGCGTATGCATCGTAGTGAAAAGGCAGAGCTTTCGAAGGAAAGAAGTCGCAAAAGAGTCCAGTTTTCTTTTAAAAGTTCTATAGCAAATAATTTTTTTTGGCTCCCTAGTCTTGTGTTTTTGTGTTCCTTTTCACACCTTTTACGACGTGCGGTGGATGAAATTCGATTTTAAAATCATTTCATGGTCCCTTTAAGCGCCAAGGTCAGCGGTCACCAGGGTTGTATCGCACCGTCAAAGCCGGAGGCAGCGCGCCACGTCTTCCTTTTGCTCAAGCCGCTCCTGCGGTGAAATCACGATCCCCCACTGCGCAGGCGCGCCTGACTCACGGCTTCTGTGACGAAGCATCTGCGTTGCTGTGCTTTTGTTTTTGTTTTATTTCAGAGGCGCGTCCAGTTTTACCTTGAGAGGCACATGACGCGTCGCAGCCAATGGAAATGTATTGTTCGTTCCGCTGCTACAGACAACGCCGGCTTCGCTCCATGAGACAGTTAATGCTTTTGCATTAAAAAAAATAATTTCATGGTACCTTTAAGCTTGCACAAATACGGCACAGAAAATGGCACCACGCAGCCAAATAGCACGCAATGACACCTCACACTGTAAGTCAGCCAGCCATCTGCACATCAAAAACATTTTTCCCCTAAACTTGCTAAAAGCGCACGAAAAACCAACCCGTAACCATTTAAAGCAAAATAATACACATTATTTTTTTTTTTATGTAAGGCTTGCGCAGGCATGCTTCCTTCAGTTAAACTCGTGATATCACGCTGATCATTTAAAGGTCGAGAATTCGATAATCTAATTTCCATATGATATACGACATTGAGTTTGCTTTTCTCCATTTGTGTAGCTTATGGGCGGAAAATTGTACGCATGATCTTTCCAAAGGAAGTAAGTTCGAATATAATTTTATTATAAACTACTAAAGCTAATTCCTTTCTTATAGCACTTTAAATAATTAAAACCCTGTGTCTTCTCAAGAGCGGAGAAGAGTGACCTCGGCACGGTGCATTCTTGACTAAGCGCAAGACCTTTTTTTTTTTTCTTTTTAAACCATGTGCTTAGGATTTTTATATTTATCTTTCTTGTGCTCCCCCAAACAAGAAAGCTGTAGCGAAGACGTAAATTAATTCGTCGCAACTTTCAGCGATGGTGTGAGCATCACGGTGTGAGAGTCGCGCTCCCTAGCGCCTGGATGATCGGCTGGAAAATAGAGGTGCTTACTTACACCTTCGTGACGCTGAAGTATGACGTAAGACTCTCATATCGCTTGTAGTTTACAAAATTAGAATTACTTACACGTTACAGACCGAACCTCGTTCAGCTGTTTTCCAACGATCAGCCAGATGACAGCCATTTAGATGGGAACTAAAGCGGCCCCTATAGGCCGTGAAAGTTGCGAATAATGTATAATATAACTTTTGTTTTTACTCGATGGGGCAATACATGTTTAAGTCTCTAGATTTAAGGCCCGGCCCGTTCACACACTTACGCTCGACTGCAAGCGTCTGAGGCAAGACTGGTTTTTAAGCTTTTGGTGACTTCTTACGACCGGCTGCATTGCTGCTCATCCGGTCCTAAGCCGTCGCAAGAGGCTTAGAAACCGGTCTTGTCTCAGTCGGTCGCAGTCAAGCGCAAGTGCGTGAACGGGCCTTTACGTATCCCCTTTGCAATGTCGCATGACCTTGAGGGTAAACAAACCCTAATGGATCGTGAGATATCCGGCCTTACTCTGTCGACACCAAAATATAAATTTAAATTTTCATGAAACAGAACGCGCTCATTTATTCGATAACTTCGCTTTGAAATTAAATTTGATTTTAATGCTCAATGCATTTATTCTGTGATCGAAAAAATAATACTACATCAATTTTTTATGCATTTATTTAAACTTTGTTTTCTCTTAGCCACGATAGATTTTTAAGCCATGTATTGGTTTCGCGCTCAAGTACTTCTAAACTTGTTCCAGAAAAAAAAAAACAGAAAAAAAACGTGCTTGTGGCATTAGCATATAAAATACATTTGGTGTTTGCGATATCTTTATAATGCCACTATTGTAAATTAAAAATAAGAGCGGGCCGTGGATAAACCCCACCGAGACACTGTATATTTTATTTTACCCATACTTGAATTTGCGTAATCAATGGCTGTTCATTGCAAACGACTAGATAAATAGTTTTTTTTACGATGACTAAGGGAATTTCCTATATTTATATGTTTATAGTCATGAAATTCTCGAAAATAATATGCTTCACTGCATCGGAAGCTTTTGTGAAGTCAAGAAAATTCCTACTCTGCATAGCTTCCGTTTAATGTTGTCAAGTTGTCAAGGGGAGAAAGCCAGATGCTCGCAAAAAAAATAATAATAAAAAAACACGTAAAATATTTTGGCTTAGATGCGGCCCCCAATGGGCTTACACTTTTCATTGTTGCTCGAAGTGCCGGGAGAAATGTTCACCATATAAAAGCAAGAAGCTGTTTATAATATACACAGATTCTTGATTCGTTTATTGCTTTATTGCAGCAAGTTGGAAGCACTGGCTAATGGCACTTTTTTGCTCTTCAAAGACAAGCGGAAAAACACTCAGGTATGCCAAGAAACCAAACATTGGCAGCGACCTTTTGTCTCGAAGGTCCTATAACGCTTGGAATGCAACATTCAGTAAGGAATTGTATTTATTCATTCAGTATTTAAGGAACGATCCTTTGAGTTTGTTTAGAAAACATTACACAGTGATTTCGGGGAGTGTACATGTTTTGCAATAATTTAGACACTCAACTTAGTAGGAAGTTTATGTTTCACGACCTCACGTCACGTGGCGTCTTTTTATCACATGATTCCACAACTTGGCACCGTAACGTCACGTGAACTGACGTCACGTGACACCAGGTGGCGCGCATTTTATGCTTTAAAAATAGCGGTGAGGGTTACCAGATAAAGGCAACAAGGAGACTAAATGTGCCCCCCGACGACCCAGGTTCAGGTTCAGACGCAGCGGTGCTACCAGAGCGAGGCGCAAGTGTGCACCTGCGGTCTCGTCGCTCAACAGGACAACTCCGTGGTGAAGATCGACATGTGCCACAGCGCTCACAGCCTTCCAACCGTCGTGACCTTTGACATGGAAGGACGCAAGCCGACCGTCAACATACTTCGGCAGCATGATGGCCGCCTGCTGATCGTGAGTGCTCTGCAGCCTGCGTGTTTTCCTTGCTCTCGTGACCACGTGTATTGCATTTTCTCGAAGACTGCTCACGGTGTTCACGAAGAAGGCTGTGCTTCACAGAGCCGTTTATACTGGGGGAGATTGGCAGGTCTTTTGAAGATGCCGACTGACTAGCAACAACGGCTGGGATAAGGACCAGCAATGACAGCCGGAAAATGCTATGGCCCCTTTGCGATCTTGTGTTGGGGCGCATGTCAAACCGTGAGCGTCTCTCGATGAGATGACAGAGGCGCTTTGCGCAGCTTGTTTTCCACAGAGCTCGGTGTTTACCCAACACAAGGTCTGGGAACTGGATTCTTTACGCCATCCACCTCGATCGAGCGCGGGGCTCAAATCGGACACGAATGTTCCGTCAGCGTTCGGCTAGTAATTGTGTTAAATGCAGGTAGAAACTGAGGGAGAGGAGGAGATCAGAGCGCCCAGGGACGACAGAGAGCCCATCTCTGACTGGAAGGATTAGTGGGTAGACGCCAAAACTTTGAGAACACGTACAGAAACGTGACGAACACCATGACGGTGCGCTTTTGACGCTGTCTGCTCGGTCCCATCAGCTCGTATAGCGTCGGCTGCGCCCGGACTTAGAGAGAATACTCACTATTCGAACGCGTTCGAAGTCGAAGGCCGGACGCCAGTGTTCGGCGTTCGAACGCGTCGCTTTTTCGTGCTCTCTGTGAAGCACTATGTATCTGTCTAGTTTTCGAGTGTAGCGACGTCCGTATGTTCCCGTGCGCGGCACGACGAAACATCAATGTCGAACACTTGGGACCTTTCTGTTTTTTTAGAAATGTTTTGCGCATGCGCAGGTCCTCCTCACGCAGTGACAAAAGCTTGATCTACGGTTGTCGTTCCGAAGAGACAGGAGAGACAGCGCAACTCTCCTTCCAGTCGTCAATCGCGCTTCGAACTTTCGCCGCTTGATGTCGTCTATATGTGCAAAAGGTTCATTACATTATATTCTGTTGCCGCTTGCTTTCGGACCAAGCTGGGGTTAGCTCGGATTATTTTTGCGTTAAATTGCTCATTAATTCGCAGTTGTGACGTTCTTATTCTCATAAATAAATTATGACATCACGAATTACCCGAATCCAGACCGCCAGTGTGGTTTAGAGCGCTGTCGTCCTGCTCTAACTCAAATAGAACGAATTCATTGTGACACTTAGTGGTGACAGACCGACTGACCTAAGGCTCATGCTACTCCTCCATGGTCAGTTATCCCACTAATTTGGGGCTGACAGCGTGCTTGATTCTAGGTAACATTACACGCCCGACGAACGTTTAGGAAGGAAAGGTTTCGGCAAGAAACTGTGTATATGATATATCGGCGGATGTTTATCGGTGTCTGAGTTGAAACCGGGAAGTCCACAGCCTAGTTATTTAGTGGCTCTAGAGTGTGTCTGTGACAGGCAGGCTTCGTCACATTACAACCATCTCAGCCAGGTGCCCGCTCCTTGGGGTCCCACAGGCTCGCGTTTACAACTAAACCACCAAGGGGGTAAACATTTCAGCATCATTCTTCTTGTCGCTCACCTGTTGCACGAAAACAGTCTACACCTAGTCCTTTGGTTGCTTTTGGTTCTGGAGATGCTACACCGCTTTCAGAATTATCACGGGGGAGTATATACGCTATTGAAAAAAAACAACGCCAACACTATAAAAACAAAACCCTGTCGAGTGTTGCGAGCTGTAACTAATGAAATCAGGCTCGACTGGATTAGGATCAATAGGAAAACCGGGGAGAGGCCGTCCTGGAGCCCGACTTTGGTCGAAACAATTATCTGGTCCCTAAAAAGGACCGTTTTTCTTTTTTCTTTTTTTATACTGAATCACCGCAATATTGATCTCTCTAAATCGCGCATTCAGAAGATCGTCTCCTCATTCACTTTCGTGCAAATTACGCGGGTAGCCAATCACTCCTAACTCGGAAGGACTCTCGCTAGTGACGGAGCTCTGTAGCGTAGAACTGAAAATTTTGATGTGCGCCAAGAGAAGGCAAATTACACTTCACTTTCTAACTGTCCCGGCGCTTTTTGCATTTTTGAAGTGGAATTATAGTCGTACGTTTAGAGTGATATATAGACGTTTTTCGTTTCTCTTCGTTCTCAGTCACGTGGGTTCTATATCTGGTATGCGGGACGCAAAAATAATAGGACATTGTAACCCGGACTATGCGAGAAAATATATATGTGAGGCAAAAGAAGAATGTGTGACGATCACGCATTTTTGTAACACCTTCCAGCGGAGTGGAGACATCAGAACGATGTTTTAACGCACACGAGAAGCGCCGACATTCAAGATGACTGCGCTCTTGTGTGAAAGGTGTACAAGCTGCGTGCTATGCAGGAAAGTGGGCGCGAAGACATTTTTAGATTCGAGAGATAAGATGTATACGCGACAACGCTTCCCGCGCAGCGGCGCTGAGCCAATCTTTCATATGTGCTTACAAGTAAGTGCAGATCACATGCCTTTGTGTATTATTGTCTGTTACACTCCTTGTTTATAAACCTCAATGGTTGCCACGCGTGCTTTGTGGCGGTTCAGAACCGCTTTTCTAAAACAGTGCGCGAGGCATTCGCATTTTTATAAAAGCCACCCTGAAGCGCTGTTCTACCCGCACCACTTCGTTATTTCCAGGTTAGGCTGTCATCAGGAACCTTCATTCAAGTCGTTCTCGAGAAATGGGGAATGTCGTTCTTACTTACTGTCCCGGCAATGAACACATCCGATGTCGCCGGAGTCTGCACGTTGACCGAAGGAGGACGCCGTGACCTGGAAACGTTACTGGATGGCTACAGGTACAAAACTGTCTACATCTTGATACCAGTGACGCTTTGCCATTCCTATTGAACACAGAAAGTCTATTCATAACTAACACGTGTTACGGAACCCTAGGAGTGTCATATTGTTATCAAATTATGGCCATCATACCATGGTGCTCATCCCTCTGAACATTCTTAATAAGCTTAATGCACAAAATGAAGGACTCCACAGACTGTCGGTAAGCAGCTCAGGGGACCTGATAATCTGTAACCCAATCGACGAAATTGGATTGGTAACTTCGCCTGCAAACAATTCAAAAGTTAGTCTCCTAGTGATATAGTATTCATGCCAATACTTTCCTGTATAGTGCCTAGTTTTCTGCTGTCCAGCATTTATTTGACAACCGTCTAAGGGCTTAAAGTATAGTGTATATTTTCTATCGCGCATATCTTGCCTTAATATTTTTCGTGGGTGTTTATTTGATGAGTAAGTTAAATGTATGGTGCCCTTTGCTGATATTGGATTTTTGGGTATTGGGGCCATTCAAGCTATTTCTGAAAGTTTTTTTTTTTTTTTTTTCACCTCCACTGCAGCCTTGTATTTTTGTTGTAATATAAATAATATTATTATTTGAAGATTCCATTTCAAACCATGCAAGAATAAAAGGTAATCCGTTTTAGAAAAGCTATTTGCTGGGCATACATATGAAACCCCGAGACAAGGGAAAAAACAAGACAAAGAAAAATGGACAATTTAATGACGTTTTCAACAAGAGCCGTTGTGTTGTCTTTTTCTTTTTTGCCTTGTCTTCGTGTTTTATAAGTATGACCGTTCACCAGCTGGCCCGCATCATTACCCTTGTTTCAGTCATTACAGGGTGTGTTTTTAGGCTAGGTTTTGTTTTAAAGTCGTGAAAGCTGCACTAATACCGTTTACGCAGGTGAGCTATACGGCCATTTTAGAATTAACTAAAATGTGTTAATCCACCTTTGGATTAGTGAAAAAAAAACAACAACAACATTGTTTGAAATAGAAACTTTCTGGTTATCATCGAAAACCACTGGATCAGTAAATCTTAGAGGCCTTTGGAGCCTGTGGGAAGCGCTGTTGTGGGCGAAAGTTACTCGTGCGGCAGGCACGAAGCTGGCAGTGAGAAAGCGCGAATCGATAATTATTTGTTCTGCCCCAAGTGCCCGCAGGGCTTGGAGTCTGGGGGGCCTCAGGGGGTCTCGGATCCCCCACTGATTTTAACGGATGGTCTGAGACCCCCCTCCACAACCCCCCCCCCCCCCCCAGCCTTAGTAAAATCAAAATCATATCTTGCAATAAACTGGCTTGTTCTCAAGGTGTGACATGTGGGGATTAGCAGTTTCTGGGTTGCAGGTACAGCGTGGGCAGAGTCGGCAATGGGGTTTATTTTATGCGCATCTAGAACATTTCGTCAGAGCTCCCCCCCCCCCCCCTGCCTCCCCCCTACCTTCTTGTAGGGGGGACTTCCCTCAACTTATGGGAGACTTTAAGCACTGCCCTAGCACTTGGGGCAAACCATTCAAGACAAGACATTCAAAAATTAATGTTTGGAACTTTTTTTTTCACAGGGTCATTTAATGTTTTGGAGAAACTCTTTTTAAATGAACAAACTTGGGCGTGCATATGAAAGTTTCACATGTGTTAAATCAAGACACCAACACAGTGACTTAGAGAAAAAAAAATAATTTGGCAGTTAAAAATGGTGACAACCCAGCTTTGCATTTTAAATAGCTTAAAATCTGAGGGCTGTTTTTTAAGTTCCAATGAATTTGGTAAAAAAATATAAAAATTGCTTTAATGCAAAAATAATGTCGATACAGAGTCAGACTCTAGCTACTTTACGCAAATCCCGCACATATTAAGGCAGTTATTATGATGTGGCACAGGCTTTTAAATTCCACCCCCCCCCCCCCCCAAAAAAAAAAAAAAGTAAAGTGGAGATTTGGGGCATTTGGTTCATTGCAAGCAAAAAGCGTCAGCAAGACCGTCACTCGCCACGGACATGTCACGTGTATGGAGAAAATTGCATGAAGCTTCGGGAAGGGCAGACAGCCATCCTTGAAAATGAGAGGCACGAAACGTCTTTGGCAACTAACAGTCTTGTTGAACTCGTGATGGAGTGACTGAAAACCCGGGCAGCATGCAAAAACTTGGCCCACGTCCTAATAACCGCATAAATATATGCGGTCATTATGCGGAGAAGTAGCTAGATCATAAATCCACTGTCTGTGTATATTAAAACAATGTTAATCACAAATTTTTTTTACCTTGTTTATCGGAAGGACTCGGAAGGACTGAGAACCCTGGCGGGAACTTTCTTTGGGAAGGGCATCCAAAAGCTTGTGGCAAGTCATAATAACTGTCTAAATGTGCTGATTATGCGGTGAAGTAGCTGGAGTATGTATAGAATGTCTGAAATGCCAAGGCTCGATCTAAAATGGACTGTAAAAATTGGCGCTTGCACGTAGCAATCTAAACTTTTCGTCAAATGTGTATTCCACATGTGGGTTTTACCTCGTAAAATTACGAGGCGTAGCTCCCTTTCTGTGAAACGTGCCATAAAACTTTCAGTAACGCACAAATGTTGAACTCATAAATCACTAACGATTACAGTATATAGTTACTATTGTGTCGCAGGAAAAAAAAACTAAGCTGATTCAAGAAGAAGTAAAAAAATATATATATATTCTACAAATTTGATGAAAAAAATCACCGAGTAAAAATTTTCTTGTCGAGATTCGTGTCCCTGGCTTATCGCTGCCAAATATCGCTGAAATATACAGTAACGCAACCGACGTTCGTTTATTTTCAGAATAACGATAACGTATTTCGCTACATTTCCAGGACAGTAGCGAATCTCAGTGTTGCGTTGGTTTTGACAAAGTTCACGAGTAACGCTATTTCGTTATTTACTTTGGCTAATGGGCACAACACTGCTTTTAGATGTCCGACTCGCGGGGCACGGCGGCAAAATCCTCGACTGCTCCGACCTTCAAGGAATTGACTGCAGGGAAGAAACACCGGCAGTGTGAAATTCTAGGCAGACTTTGTGGGTATCCGGCACTGTGCATATTGAGAAAACATCACATTCCATATCTTAAAACGCCGTATGCAAGACTGCTGGCAATAGCTCTGCGCACACAGATCGGAGCAAGATGTCTAATGGTGTACAAAAGCCAGGCAGTACTTCTGAGTTTGCTACAAATATAGGGCAGGTGGGTGTTCCAAGCAAGGTCGCTGTCAAAATTAACGCCCAGGTATTTAACTGACTTGACATAAGAAACCGCCGTACAGGAGCAAGGAGCACAATCAGAGGCATGAATGAACAGAGGAATGTTCGTCACAGTTTGTTTTAAAGAATTTCTAATGCATACTAAACTAGTTTTCGGGGCGTTAACTTTGATACAGTTGTCACGAAACCAGGTCATAGCAATGAAAATAGCTTGTTATAGTATTTTTACAATTTAAGACTAAAATTGTATCATCCGCATATTGAAATATTTGACAATTTAAGACGTTTTCTACAAGATCATTCACATAAATATTAAACAATAAGAGGGAGAATATGGATCCTTGTGGAACGCCACACGTAGGAGACACCTGTGTACTCATGTTTAGACCTCCCAGAGCAACAACCTGGAAACGATTAGAGAGATAATTTGTAAGAAGTGTGTGAAAATTGTCACGAAATCCCAGCTTGTGCAATTTCTGAAGCAATGTACCGTGGTCGACCAAGTCAAAAGGTTTAGAAATATCTAAAAAATAGGGCGCAACTGTATAGATTATTCTAAAAAGCAGAGTGGAGGAGGTCAGAAAATTCATTTAACAGTGAAACAGTTCCAAGACCCTGTACAAAACCGAATTGTCTCGGTGAAATTACTGAGAACTTGTTGAGGAATCCTGACATAGTCATTAGCAATGTTTTTCCAGAAGCTGACCTTTGACAGGCAATTTGGAGATTGGTCGATAGTTTTCATATTTGTATTTTTGACCCTTTTTGAATAAAGGTTTAACAAGTGCTCTTTTTAAGGTTCTTGGAATTACACCGATCGTTATGAAATAATAATAATAATAATAATAATAATAATAATCAATCAATCAATCAATCAATGTTTTTATTGAAGTGCCCAGGAACAACCTTGCGGTCTTAGTACAGGTGCACTCAGAAAACATGGAAATCAACACTACACACAACAAACAAACAGTAAACAGTAAAACACTTAAAAAAGATCACATATGTCACATAAACTTGCTAGGCTATACCACCACGATAGCGAAAGGAAAGGAAAGCGAGAGTATAAAAATTGGTTCTGAGAAACTTAATCAGGTGCAAAAAAAAAAATGGGAAGTCAAATTTAGGTGAGGAACTTCAGCGCTCTGATGAACTCCGGTGTGTTATTGTTAAATATATCAATAGAGTCTGTAAAAGAGGAATTGTAGGTGTGCCCAATTCTCGACACGGGGTCGTGAAGATTAGTTACGGGAGCATTGTAGAAGGATGCATTTTGCCTTGTAGTTTTTACGGGAATTTTCAAACGCACATTTAATATCAATGATGTGCAGTCAGTGATGCCATGAATAAGTTTGTACAGAAATAGGATGTCGGCATGTTCTCTCCTACGCCGCAGGGTGGGCAATGCCAAGCTATGTTGGACTGGGACTGCTGGATCATCGTTTGAGGTGGACGCATTGCGCGATGGGAAACGATGTCTGTAGATACATAAGAACTTATTCTGAACACGTTCGATTCTAGCCGAGGCTGTCGCGCAGATTCCATTCCATACAACAGAGGCATACTCGACGTGTGGCCGACATAAAGCACTGTACAGTGTGACAAAAGTACTAGGGTTATTAAACTCTTTAGTAATGCGGCACGTGATACCAAGCGTACGTAAAGCTGAGCTCACAATATGGTCAACATGACTCGAAAAGCGTAATGTACTATCAAATACAACTCCAAGGTCTTTGATTTCATTCACACGTGTCAAAAGAACTGACTGAATGTCATAAGAGAATATAATATTATGTGTCTTTCGAGTGTAGGACATGACTTTAGTTTTCGAACTATTTAGTTTTAGGGCATTCTGATTGCACCAGTTTTCGAATGCATATACATCATTTTGTAGCAGAACACAGTCGCGTTCGTCCCGTACCTCTATAAACATCTTAATGTCACCTGCATATTGTAGAAAGGAAGAGTGACGGATCACAGCCGAAACATCATTCACAAAAACTGAAAACAGAAGGGGGCCAAGAACGGAACCTTGAGGTACACCCGTCGTAGCCTGATAAGCAGCAGACGAATTACCATTCGAGCTGACAAAACACAGTCTATCACGCAAGTAACTTTTGAGCAATAAAAGTAACGACCTGTGGACATCAAGCCTTGACAGCTTTGCCAGCAACATGTCGTGATTTACAAGATCAAACGCATTGCTTAGATCAAAGTAGATTACATCAAGTTGGCCTCTATTAGAGATGACCTGAGCAGCAGTTGACATGAAACAAGTGAGGTTAGTCGTGGTTGAGCGACCCGCCATAAAACCTTGTTGGCTAGGGATGAGAGAATGTTTGAGCTTAAACGACAATATTTTGTGTAAAGCTGTTTCGAAGAGTTTTGAAAATGTACAAAGAAGAGATATAGGCCTGTAGTTTGAGACGCTTGTTCTTGAACCGGACTTATGTACGGGTACAACAAGTGCTGTTTTCCACAAGACGGGAAACACTTCGGTTTTTACGCAGTTGTTAAAGATGTGTACCAAAATAGGGATAAATATTGCACTATAGGCCTTCAATAGGACCGACGGAATGCCGTCATGGCCAGAAGACAAAGACGGCTTCATCTTCTTTACACACTCGTGTAATAGCTCCTCATCAAAAAACGCAATACAGGTTGAATTACTAGAGGCAGCTGGCGCGGCGTTAATGGGAGAGTTCGGTTGATGCCTAAATACGGACTGGAAGTGGTGGGCAAAAATTTCGCAAACATCTGTGGTCGAGTTTCCCTGTGAGTTCAGCAATGTGATCTCCCTCCCACATTTTGTCTTTGATCGAGACCGAACGTATTTCCAAAATTCCATGGGATTCTGAGTTAAATGCAGCTCAACAGAATTAACGTACCTCTGACGATCACGCCTCATAACTTCCCTGCATGAAGACCTTAGACGCCTAAATTCTGATTTCCATCCAGGGAGACCGTTCTTTTTAAATTTTCTGTGAGCGTGCAACTTCTTATTCATTAATCTGCGTAATTCACGTGAGAACCAAAAGGGAAACCTAGAACCTGCGGTTCTCCGTAACGGGATAAATAATAATAATAATAATAATAATTAATAATTAATAATAACATTATTATTATTATTGTTGTTGTTGTCATCGTCATCGTCACCATCATCCACTTACGTGCAGATGTATTTAATTCCAGATTGTCCGACGAGGAAAACCTATTCAAACGACTTCCGCAGAAGGTGTCTGGGAAATATTACGAAGCGTTTTGCACGTGTAGAATGGCGACAGAAGACAACGATGCCAGAGGAAGGCAAGAGAACAGGACGCCAAAACGAGTCGAACGACTTTGCAGTGCCATAAAGCATGCACTGCCGAAATTTCTTTCGAACTCCACCGATGTCACCCTTAAGTACCATTTCAGCCAATCACTGTTTCTCGAGGAAAGCAGAGATCAGCTGGATCCAACGGAAACCGACATCCAAAACAGACTTCCCTCCACACTGAGCATTGAGAAAGCGCGGTACAGCGGATTGGAAAAGCATCGAGGACAACGCACGCCCAGAGGAGACATCCCGGCCGGCCTGGTTTGGATCAAAGGTATGCGTGAGCATCGCCCAAATCGCTGGGTCTCATAGCTTGTAAAAAGACACAGAGAAAAAGAGAGGGGCAAGAGAACCTATTCGACAAAAGGCGCTTACATCGCACAGCTAGTCTCGTCCTTCTTTTTCGGCGCCTTTTCCAACCTTCAGTGGGAACCAACTGGCACAATTAACCACTTTGCTAAATCGTGTTTCGCAAATAGGTTGCTAAACTCGCATTCAATCTTAAAAACCTAAATCCCCCCCCCCCCCCCCCCCAAAAAAAAAAAGTATCCGAGAGGGTTGAAGTTCATCCCCTTTAGAGATTATGCGGCACAGAATTTGTTAGAATTGAAGACCGCTGTACGTTACTCCTTCAGTTGCCTATCATTAGAGTATGATTGTTATCAGGGTTGGCAATAAATACCAGATAGCGCACATCTCTAAAGTTTGGAACTTGGGTAAATCACAGCTAAAATAGTGGTACTGAAAGACACTCGTAAGAGGGAACCGCGATGAGTAGTATCAAAACCACGTTCGAAAAACCCGTGAAAAAGTATTCTCAATTGAAAATGCAGAAACACATTAGACTGGGACAGAATTATTAAGAATGAAATACATATTTCTCAAAGCTATTTGAGCAGTTCTCATTAGGGCTGGGTAAAAATTCCCCCCTCCCCCCCCCCCCCCCCCCCCAAAAAAAAAAAAATACTGGGATATTATTTGTTGGAGGAATAAATACTGATGTTAAAATACATATTAACATATTTTTCTATTCATTCATTCCACCTCAAAGGCCCATTGAGTGCATGCCACGAAAGGGTATCTAACAAATAAATAAGTAGAAAAATATACAATGAATACGGACAACAATCCCCAAAAGATTATACAAAAAGAGCAGCCGAAAAGAAAACATGTGAAAAATAATAATACTAGCGAGTAGATATTTTTATTATGCCGTAAAACATGAGTCAGCATGACAAGTACACAAAAATCAGCGATGTTTCAAATTTGCATATTCAGCTAGGGAGTAAGGACATGACATAGCAAAAAAAAAACAAACATGAAAGAACATTATAATATATATATATATATATATATATATATATATATATATATATATATATATATATATATAAAGAGAGAGAGAGATGTTATATTCCAGAGCACGTTTAAAGTGGAAACAGATTATTAGAAATGGCAGATTGAAATATTTTGGGATCGTGTGTGGTCGCGGTAGTTTCAAGGGGCACTAACATATCGGAATTATATATATTTTTTTTATTATCCAAAACGATTGAAAAGGATGCCGGGACTTTACTTTCGAAATTCGAAACTTGGGAATTCAGTATTTGTGAAGGAAAAAAAAATTTCCAAATGCCGAATTCGAAGTTCCCGCGAAATCGGCGCCGGTGCGTTGACGTCAAATATTGCGGAGTCCTGCGAGTCGACTTTCTTTCACGACTCCGTGCTGTTGCCACCGCGACCCGAAGCGAGGGGATGAGCAGCGGGAGATAAGGGCGCCGGCGGACAGGGAAAAGCCGGTTTTATTCCGTGCGAGCGGTGCCGCCTACCCAGGTTGCATGTTTTCCGAGGGAGGATACAAATCCAGGAGGCGACATCACACCGGACTCCGATGTTTGGTATTTCAAAAAGAAGGGCCGTAGTGCATTCGTAATTGCGTTAAAAACATGTTTTACGATTGCCGCTATTAAATGTTATAGAAATGTCGCCTACAAAGATTACAAATTTCATGATTTTTGACGTCACAAATCAAAAGAAGCGAGAAGGCAAAGAGCGGGAGAGAAAAAAAAAAATAATAATAAAAAAATAAAAAGGCGCGCGCGCGCGTGGGAAAATGTTTTTTTTTTTTTTTCGATGTGGTATTTGTTTGCGTGTCTATGACCACAATTTGCATCGTTTTAGACAATAAAAAAATACGACCCTTGGGGTGTCAGTGCCGCTTTCAGGAAGACCACTCCAGTGCTTGATGGCATGAAGAAGGGCATGAGTTATTGAAAGCCGATGTTGAGGCAAAAGTGCGATTGAAACCTTTCACAAGGAAAATCCCCGGAGATGAGGGGTCACAAAAAAGGAGACAAACACAATACCGTCTCGAACGGTGTTGTGTTTGTCCCCTTGCTTGTCTTCCCCCGTCTCTGGGGTTTTCAGTATTTACCAAAATGTAGACTTCCACAGCGCCAATAAGGTAAGGAAGAGACAACAGGAAGGAAAGAGCGCTGTTTTCAGTATGATCTCTCACCAGCTCGCCTGCACAATCACCGTTATTTCTGTTTCTGTTTTTGGCGGGACAAGATATTTTATGAGGTTGTCCTAAACGATTCGTGCCAAATTGGCCAGGGTTACGATGGGGCCGATGAAGTAAACAAAGAGATTAATCATTCTACATAGTCATTGGAAGGACAGGAAGCACATGACATCTCTTTTGGATGCTCTGGCCTCCCTCCAGCACGCCCTCTTTGCCTTCCACCGTGCTTTGGCTGCGTTACGCGTGCTCGCTCGGAGCCCGCGAAAAGGCCGAAGAGTTGTCGAAGGTAGGAAGCCCGCGCTCGAAGCAAGACAGCTCAAAGACTACTCTGCCGTTCATATATCCTCTCAGTGACTGTAAGGAGAGACAGTGTACGTTTGATTAATGAGTGAGCTTAAAGTCCAAAATTCCATACCGCTGACTTTTTTTTTTTCTTTGCACTTTTGACGCTCCCCACTGACAGTTAGCCCGTTCTGGAACCAGACGCCATAGCAACAGGGGTAGCGTGCGCACGAAGTTGTCGGAAAGCAATTCGGCTGGAAGCTTTTAACAGAAGATATAAAAAAATGTGCGGGAGCAGTTTTCATGAGGTAAACTTCACAATGACTCAAGTATTGATTCCTGGAGCATTGCAAGAAATGAAGTTGTTTTTGTCAACCAAAAAAGTCCCAGGTGCTTTTTGCTCTAGCAAAAAAATATGGCGCGACTGAGATCGCGAGTAAAACAGTCTGAATTATATTGTGGTTTACGATGTAACTAAATTTAGAGTGAATACCCCATCCGCACTGCGTTCAGTGATCGAGCAGATCAAAGTATCAATCTGCCATAGTTAAAATGAATATATTCAGTGAGAAACAATCACTTTTTACAGATTAGGTGATTTACATCAGATACATCTGATTTGAGTGACTGATATTATCTAAATTATTTCCTCCATTACGGGAGGTACATTCCCCGGCAACGTTGAGTGTGCGCGGAACCTCCACACTAGACCGGCTTCTTGACTGCAGATACTGGCTACGACATGCACAGTGGTTCACTGAGCTGGCCCACTCCGAGCGGGCTGACCGAAGCGCACGTGAGGCAGTTGTGCGAGGACACCATGAGAAACGTCACCACTTCAGATATGTGCTCGGACTACATCGATCGTCACAGAAAGGAACTGTCTCAGATCTGCGTGGCTGGTAAGAGCGGACTGCGTTCTTCTTGGGGTTACTCTAGAGCCACTAATAAGCGTAGTTACACGAATATACTTAACAGCAGGAACGCTTAATCGCAGTCACCACACTATACTTGCGGACAACATTCTCTAGTTATGCAGTCAAAGCTATGTGCGCGGGTGGTCTTGGCGCATTTTGAGCTCCCATCGAATCTGTGCACGCGCACGCTTTACTTCTCCTGAAACAGCTGTCCGAGAGTCTAGTGTTGGGTGAATCGTAACTGCAGTTAAGGGCGACTTGACGGCATTTAAGGGGGCCCGTCTAAGGAGGGTATTACTAAGCTACGCGTCACAGTAACGAAACTTTGCTTCACAGTAACGAAACCTCGCTTCACAGTAACGAAACTCAGGAATCTTGTTTCTTTGAATCAATTTTGAAGCTTTGTTTAAAATAGCAGGATACGCGTTTCCGTCCCCCACAATGTATGTTAAAACTAGTTAAACCCGTCCGCTACAGAGCAAAGCGATATCCTGACACCGTATCCGAAGTTTAGGAACTCGCGTTTTTGAATCGTGGCTATTCCCAATTGTGCATGCTCTGCACTATGCAGGAACGACGTCCACAAGACGGTCGATTAATGGAGTCTTGCTGCTTTAAGCGTAGCTCACTTATTGGCTCTCGGTTGCACAAAACAGCTAGTCATTAATAGAGGGATTTGCCGTCGCAGATGTGACTCTCATTGATGATCCCCAGTGGGCGTCGAACACCATATCGCTCATCGGGCTCAAGTGCGAAGAGGAGGTCTCCCAGGGACTGAACCCCAACCTGGTGCTGGCCGATCCGTTCCAAGTGATGCAGAACTTGCGCTGTCCTGGCGACTGCAGTTACCATGGCGTCTGCAACGGCCGTGAATGCTTCTGTGACGAGGGCTACGCGGGACCCGACTGCAGTCAGCCTGACGGTACGAGTACGAGACCCCATAATCAGTATCAACCACTACTGACCATAATGCGGTTGGTAGATGATGCAGCTTAAATCGACTCAAAACTGGTCACGTGCTTTTTTACGCTCTTTGTTCGTGATGTAGGGGTTCGTTTACGAGACGGTACACGTGTTTTTTGGTTTGTTCACAGCCTACAACCACACTTCACACGGCCTGAGTGAAGTTGCACGACATAGTGATGTCGATGTTGTGCTGTCTTGCCAGCTCATGCTGGGTTCTTTGTGCTGTTTCGTCAACAATCGCCCGGCATCAACAACCTGCATGGTGCCCAAAACCACAGACGACTAGCTTTTTTCCCTATGCAAGATTGATAACGCCATGTAAAGATGAAAGATAACGATTATTCTGTGTGCTCTTCGGCACAATAATTGCTGACTTTGAGCGAGCAGTATTTTGGTGCGAACTTTTCACCTACCCACAGATGATGAGAGAGGTCTCGTGCTTTGTAATGAACTTGTCCAGAGTGCTCCTTTATCCACCGGTCAATGTCAGCTTGTGCATATGACGCCAAAACAAATTGAAATTTTCAAAACAAGCGCAGGTTGTCGACCGCTTCGAACATAAAATAGCGGACAATTACAATTCTAGCTTGCGTTCAATATCACTTCCTCGAGGTACCTATTCTTAAACTGACGATCGCGCTTCTTTAATTCTGTAAGCATATGACGCGCAGGTATTTTTTTTTTATATGCGTCTGCCAATGGTACTTCGTAACAAACAAAACAATCCCGTTGTTCTCTCGTTTTGGCAGACGAACCGTTTGATAACCATATCTTAGCTGACCCCGTAAGAGCCACGGTGAAAAAAGAGTGCGGTGTCTAAACTAGGCCAGCCGAGGCGGCGAAAGTTTGCTCGGACTTTGCGCATCTCCCGGCAGGGGCCTTGTCGGTTGGGGGGTATGCGTACCAGGGCAAGCGCGGCGCGCGGCGCCCAGGGGCCTTCTAAGCATGTCCGCGAATAAGGGCTTGCTCTCATCGGCCTCCTACTACCCCTAGAGTTCCTCGATATGCTCCCCCGAAGGGGGAGCAGAGTTGCGCATTCGTTTTCCCCGCGCCGCCACGCCGGTATTCGCCGAGATCAGACTTGTACCGTACGCATTACTAGTAATCAAATTACTTGTAATCGAATACTTTTTGGAGTAATTTTGTAATCAGTTGATTACTTTTATTAGGCAGTAATCACAAGTGTAATCTGATTACTTTTTGAAGTAATAAAATTACTTGTAACCGTTACATTTTGTCTACGGACCCTCCCCCCCCCCCCCCTCCCCCGGCACACGCCTTTTTTTGTGAAATGACAAAAACAAAATTTGCTTTTTTTTCGAACGGAAAAAAGAAAGATTTTTGCGGAGCTGTAGGAAACGAGGTCAATCTCTTTCTATGTACAGTTTCTGTGGAATGGCCGTTTTTTGTTGTTTTTTTCGAGCTGGGACTGGGAGTGGGAAGCCCCAGGTAAGCCACAGTGCGTGACAAAGGCCATTCAGGGCGAAGTTTGAGGAAGCAGAATGTAGCTTGGTGAGTCCTTCGTTCAAACTAGCCCCCTCACGCACACACACACAGAAAAAAAATATTCTGGTTAGGGTACCCACTCGCAGCCCGTAGGAGAACCAGAACCGAAGAATGCCTAAAGCGGATGCAAAATATAACAAAGGCAGTTGATATATTTCCCCATTTCCCCTACGTGGTCTTTGTGACAAGCAATGTTTCGAGTTGAGAAGTGGTCGGGGTGATCTCTTCCGCTAATGGATACTACACATGATCCGTTTCAAATCCTGGAGCTGCTGCTCTTTTGTATAACATGCGAGCTCATTCACATATGAATAATAAAATGAGCGACGCAAACTTTGAGCGACAACCCTTGCTCAAGCTTAACAAGATCTAGAACCCCCTCCGCCCCCCCCCCCCCCCCCCCACACACACACACACTGACACTCACACACACTGGTGAACGCCCAAATCATTAAACGTCTTCAAGCGAATTCTATGCTTGTGTCCGCATTGTGAAGGTGCAACGACCACGAAGAGGGAGCCAGTTTTTCTTTTTCAATACTTTGTGCAAATGTGAAATATAGGTTGGAAGTAGTTCATTGTTATGAGCGCAAAAGATGTCTTCACACAATAAAGTAATCGGAAAAGTAACGATTACTTCTTTAAGTAATGTCCAATTACTTTTGTCGTCGAATAATCAAGTAATCTAATCGAATACTTTTTAGCCAAGAGTAATAGTAATTGTAATCGATTACTTTTTTTTAGTAACGTGTACAAGACTGGCCGAGATCCATCACGTGAGGAGCAAAAAAAAAAGCATCCGGCGCCGTACAAGAAAGCCACCTTTACGATAGCTCCGCCGACGTTGCTCGCGCCCCGGCGTATGTTCCCCTGCTTTCGCCTCCTTCTCCCCTTTTTCTGTTTTCCATGCGCGGCGGCGCGCGCGGTGCCGCTATTCGCCAAATTTAGTCACGTGACGAGCCAAGCATCCAGGGCGTGCAGCAAAGCCGGCGCTACGGCCACCCGACGAGGCTGAATGCGCAACTCTGCTACCGTAGGTAGCTATATACAGGAACTCTAACTACCCCAGACGTGTTGCGCCATCTCACGGCGTTTGCCAGAAATGCGAGTGAACCTTCGGCACACTTGTTCCATGGCCAGGCGGCGCCCGTTCAGACACCTCTCTCTTCTTCCACTGTGGCAAGTGTAAATACATTACAAAGTAGTACATCCTACTCCGCAAAAATCCAACGACCTTGGCGCCAGCCGCTTTTGCATGGTCGAAACGGCTAGACGTGCGCAGCCTTGGTGTTTTTCCCTTTGAATTGGGGGAGGTGGCTGCCGCCATCTATTGTCGTGGTCGTCGAGACAGCGGAGCCGTGTCTGCTCGTTCGTTAAATCTGGTTTCTTATGGGCCGGCGGCAGCCCTCTCCCTCGGCGCAGTGCGAAAGCGCAATAGCGTCATCATCGCTATGCGCAAGCGTTCTCTCGGACTGTGGGTGCCCCCTATGCTAAGGGAGGATTTGGTGCTGTAGGCGCGCTGTCGAACGCAAATGAGCAGAGTAGCATGTATTTATTCTCCTTGTAAAGCATTTGGCAAGAGCCAAATTAGATCTTGCTATCCCTCTTACCTCACAGTGAGCAAAATCGTACCCTAGAGGTCTGATTTTGCTATGTGCCTGGGGCAGGCACTTGTACCTATGTCTACAGGTTTTATTCTTCACGAGTTACTACGGCACTGCCTCGTGCAAAATTCCATTTTTCCAATTTGTATCCGTCCTTATTCGCGCTAGATTTCTTTCGTTTACATTCCTTTGTTTTTTCTCCGGCTTTCTCGCTCTGGTTATGTAGTATCCTGTGCCACGTTTAAGTTATAAATCTCTCGAAATACATACTTCAACGATTGTAAGGCGTTAATTATGGTCATTTGTTTAGAAGATATAAAGAAACAGTTCGTCCGTCAAGAACAATGAATACAATGGTGTGAATTGAACTTGGTGAAAGTTTACTGCTTTAGATACCAACAGGGTTAGAATGACAGAGAGGTCCTTCAGTTACACCACGTCCAGTGATAGCTTCGTACTTTCAACAACGCGTCGGCTCAGCCAAAGCCTGACGGAAGTCAAGGATCGTGAGCGGGAGGCCGGACATTCAAAAGAGACACCTTGCCGTTTTTACTCTGTCAGTGTCTACAGACCGGTTCGTGTGATGGTTGTCAGGTTGAAATATGTCGTAGTTGGATTGGATGACGAAGAATAAAATAAACAGTTGAAGCATAACATTTAAAATGTATAGCTGGAGAAAAAATACAACTAGAGGCCTTTGAATTCTGTCTAGTACCTTCCAATCGGCAAATAAAGTGATTTTGTGTTTTTCGCCAACCCAGCTACTTTAGAACTCAACTGGCGGCCGTCACAAAAGTTACGAACTTCAACACACACTGCTACGCCTTTCAATGAATACACCTCATACAACGAACCCTGTCGTACGGAATATATGGTACAGCCCTCGTTCGAGCGCCCCACTTTTAATGCGCTGAAACGTTGTGTCTGACGATGGGTCGCATCATCAGGAGGGGTTTCTTTCAACCGCCTCGCAGGCACCACACCGGAAGCCATCGCGACCGACGGACTCTGCGACACCCGGTCGTCCAGCTGTGACGTTGCCACCGTCTACGGGAAACACTTTCTGAACCTTCCCACCCTGGTCTGCGAGGCGTCCCGAGTTGAGGTGCAAACTGTACCGCTTGTTCGATCGTTCCCTAATTACTCTTTCATTTTCTTCCCTAATCACAGCGCTCCGTGATTTCTTTCTCTTAATTAGTTCATTACATGCCAACCCGACGACCCCCCCCCCCCCCCCCCCCCCCCCCAATATGTATGTTCTGAGGTCATCTAAGCTGAAATAATTTGCTTCATACGAATAAAATGGTGCAAATTGGACAAGAACAAACACGTAAGAAAGGGTGGGCTCTGACTTTATCTTTATTCGGTGGTGGTGGTGGTGGTGGTGGTGGTGGCGGCGGCCCGTCTGAGTTAAACGTCTCCTAGGTTAGCCTCGGTTGTTGTGATGGCTTTGGCAGAAGCCGAGCTCTGGCAAGGGGTATTTTTGGGACGTTCCAGTGCTTTGTTGAACCTTGGGTACGTTATGTACTATGGTGTATCTTACAAAGTCCCGCGTCCCGGAGAAACTCCAATAGTGCCTTTAAGGTATTACATTTTTTTTTTTTTTTTTGCCCGGTCGAAACGTTAGCTTGTTGGTCGACCTCTCCTCTCTGATAGCCAGCCTGTTGTACAATGTCTCCCGGCTGGAGCTCACGGCTCCTGCGATATCCGGGAGACTGTTGTTATGCATGTGCTGCACTGCTTCCGTCGTTTGACAGCTGTGACACTCCGTACTCTGACGTCTTCTCAACTTTTGTTGGTAGTTCGTGAATGCCATCCTTGTACAAAGGTGACGCAGCAGCGCTGATTGTGCCCATGCCAGGGAGCCCCGCAAAAGCATCTTTCGATAAGGCCGGCTCTTCTTCATTGTCTCTAAAGCCTGTTTCACATGCAGCGACTGTACAAAAAAAAAAACAAAAAAAAAAACAATTGGTACGACAGCCGGCGCAGCGAGTGCGATCGCAATGTTTGGTTTCACATACTGCAACAACTGCGCGATTTCTGTCGGCGCGGCCGGCTCTTCTACCCAAAGTTAGTTGCAGGGGGCATGGACGAGACGCGTATGACTGCCTAAAACACAACAAAGACGTCTTAATAAAGACAAATGTTTTAAGAATATAATATGTGACTAAATGTTTATAATAATTAAGCATTACACCAAAATTTTACGTGTCTAAATTTTAGGGCTGGGCGTCAACTGAAATTTTTAACCCGATTAATCGCCACCCTTTAATCGATTAATTAATCGATTAATCGGTCTGGTTCATTTCCATGCGTCATATATAAAAAAGCAAAATGATTTTTTTGTGTGTGAGCCTTTGTTCAAAATGTGTCAAGCGGCGCAATATAAAATTTGATTTTGAATCAACCTCAATGTGCAGTTGAGAGCAGTTCCACACTTGCACTCACAGATAATTACTTCAGCTGCTTAAGGCAAAAAGGTTCGTTGATATTCTCCGACAAGAGCGACCTCCTTCGATTATTTACAATAGTCTGCTGCGGTACTCAGACACTCGAACGGCGTTGAAGTGGCCGAGCCTTGTGTAACCTTCTGCAATTGTTTGGAGTTACGAATTTCGTTCCATAGTTTACTTTAGGGTGAAATTGTCCGAAACTGTGCCCTTCATACAGGTGTACTCGTCAAGATCAGCGCCGTCAAGATCTACTAAAAAGTTTACCGATTAACCCCTTGAAAAAATAAGTGATTAATCGGTAGGTTAATCGATCAGTTGCCCAGCCCTACTAAATTTATTTTCGAATACGCAGCTATCGCGGATGAAAGCTGCTAATGAACGGCTGGGAGCTTTTCGGACTGCGTAGTGTGTATGTCCCGTGACGCGTGGCCGCGAGGCTTGCTATTAGTTGACAAGAGAGCGATCGCACCGACTCTGCGACAAAATACAAACTTGGTGGGAACCAGTCGCAGAGCCGCTGCGACAGTGCGACTGCGATTTTAATCGCACATTTACTGGAAATCGCACCGATTTCGGACGAGAATCGCAGCATGCATGTGAAACAGCCTTAAGGTGTAGGGCAGGCACTGTGCAGCCTGGCCTGGATACAATGGTGTTGGATGACTGGAGGCTCGCTGTGGGCCGCCTCTGCCAGCCTGTCGGACATCTCATTTCCCGCTACACCTATGTGGGATCCACTGAAGAATACCTCTGAATCATGTTTCTTTCATGAAAGCTTCTCCTGCCGAAACGATGGTTGCTACGTTCACCATTTTCTGTAATGCTCAATTGGAGTCTGTGATTACTACATAGTTAAGGGCTAGGGCACAGACCGGGATTGGGCATAAGGATGGGGATGTGTAATGAGACATGACGTTAGAGGGTAGCGTCCGATAGCAAGTCAACCCCCGCTCTCTCACTTTTGTCCGCGAGTCCCCCTTTTATAAACACGGTGAGAGAATAATATTTGAGTCACCGGCGGAGTCCTTGTGAGGTTGGTGGTGGCTATTGACATCGATGAAGTTAAGTTCAAACAGCTTCTGTCATTGGCCTGGAGAGGGAAAGAGGTTGTAGAGGTGAGAGAGATGTTGATCTTGTATCATTGTCCTGTAGCTTTACGTTCTAACAGCAGTAGCTTCTCTCGATGTTAGAAGTGGACCCATTGATGTCGGTAATTTTGGCAGATGCTCAAAAGCCTTGGTTCTGGGTGTTCAGGAGGGTTTATGTAGAGCCATAGTATTGCGAACCGTCCCTGTAAATGGGCCGTGTGTCGAGCATGGACTCGTCGGGGTAAAAATATAACACACTATGCGCTGTGGGGGAAAGTTCACGGAAAAACTTAGGGTTTTTCAATGGCGACCATCCCCGCTGTGGTGGATGACGTTGGTGCCAAGAGTTTTCTGTGCCACTCAAGGCTGATCTTCAGCATGTGAACGACTGATGTGCTTGATGTCCTATGTACGTTGATTGATCCGTTAGTCAAGATTTGCTATTCTCCTAAGCTGTTTTCTTCTAAGTGGTTCTTCACCACATCCTTGACCGGATGTACTGGTCCATATGTTTTTTCCTGAGGTACCTGATTCTAATTTTACAGGCCACTCTCATTATGTCCTGCGGTACCACCGTTGCGCTACTTGTAACCAGAAGTAGTGGCGAGATTTCTTTTACGCATTCGTGTGCCGTGGTGCTCAAAATTCTGATTTTGGATTTGCTTTGGGAGCCATTTCCCTGTTGCGGTAGTTAGCAACTTCTCATTCTGAGCGAGTCGAATTGCCTGATTTACGAGGAACATGGACCCCGCTTGACTGAGGACTACTTCGTTGTCCGCGATTCCTGGGACGCCTAGTGCCGTGTGCAGTCCGCTTCTGTGTATGGCCTTTAGCTTACTGACGTCTGTGTCATCTAGGGCAGCCTATATAGATCCCTCGATGTCACTAGAGCTGTGTTGGCCATGTTTTCTTAGTGTTACTCTACGACGTTCCAGTCAGCTGGCGGATTGCGTTTGCTCTTTTGTGACTCTATTGTGACTTGATCCACTTGAGTCGATTGTGAATGGTGAGCCTTAGAAATCGATGCTGTGGCACCCGTTTTATTCGTTCTGCTGCTATCATTGCGTCTCCTGGACGGAACCGCCTTTCAGCTCCACCTATTGCTATCAAGATTGCTTCTCCTGCGGAGAGGGCGACGCCAGAATCTGCGCGATAGTCTTCTATTTCATCGATAGCTTTTCGAATGCTGCAAGTTATTTGCCTCGCGTAGATCCCCGTCCCCCCTAGGCACAGGTTGTCAGCATACGTTGATATCTGTACCGGTAGAGACGTTCTGTGGATTGCCTCTGGAGCCTTAGCCATTGCAATGTTGAACAGCACGGGGCCTAATATGTTGTCTTGTAAAGGTTTCTTTGTAGGGTCCTTGGGGTAGATGTTGTGGCTTCTGCTTTCATTTGAATTACTCAGCCCAACAGAAAGCTTCCCAGGAACGCTTGAATTTTTCCTGTGAGGTCAACTTCGGTGAGTCTTTCAGAACGGCAGATTTCGAAACTCCGTCATAAACTTTTTTTTCACGTCGAGGAAAGCGACCATTATATTTCGCCTCTCGTTACAATTTTTATCCAGGTCTCGCTAGGACACTGTCTTGCATTGACAACCCGTTCCTTAAGTCCGTCATACATTTTGGGAGAATCTGCGACTCTTCCAGGTACCAGCACAGTCTCGCCTAACTTCAGCCTCTCAAATAGCTTTGGCACGCACAACGTGGCTGACACTGCCTGTGTGATGCAGCGTTTGTTGATGACCTCACTGGTTTCAATACCTGCATGACGTTCACGGTCTTCCAATTTCCAGCACTTCGTCCTTTTCCTAGACGGTGTTTGAACCGCTTCACTAAAAGTTCCAGAAAGTCATTTCCGATTTTCGTCAGGACCTGATATATTATCCCGTCGGACCTCACCACACTCTCTATCCTGCACCGCACTCTCTATCCTGCAAGATCATAGAGAAGGTCATCCGTGAAGTACATCAAGGTGGGCTGGGCAACTCCCTAGCGTTGCTAGTAGCCGCCGCTTCTCGATGCAACTCGGATCACTGAGAGCTTACATCCCAAGCATCTTTTAATGCGAGCATTAGCTGTCCCATGGAGCGAGCCGACGTCATCAGCCGCGCCAAACGGCAGATAAATTCCCGAAGCCGCGATCTGAGGTATCCCGGCTTTGAAACCACGCACGAAGCCACGCAAAACGGCAGTGATATGAAGCCGCCGCGCGTCAGTTTCAGTTAGCGCATCTCCATGGCGCTGCGTGTCATCGAGGCAGTGGCTCCACCGCTCCACGCCCAAGGTCAGCGTGGCGAGGAGAGCGCGCGCGCTGGACCGTCGACGCAAGTACGCCGCAGGCGAAATAAGGGAGCGGGGGAACGGCATGCATACTTTCGCATTCACAACTCATAAGAAATGCTTATAAGGCCCGAGGTGTACCTCGGGCCTTTTTACCTCTCCGCTGTCCATGAGAGGGCATGAAGCGCAGAGGGCATGAAGCGCGTTTCTTGCACTGCCAGTGACTTCAGTAGACCTGCTTTTAACGCTGCCAAAAGGCCTACGAGGAGGGAACCACGTGACAAAGGCTGCTCCAAAGAAAACTTCTCCACTGCTGTCGCCGAAGGCGTGGCAAGAGGCGCAATTGTCGACGTCGGCAACGGTGGCGCGACAAGGGACTGAAGTCGCCGGTGGGGACAGCGCCACTGACAAAAACGCAACAAGCAACTCCCCCCAATCGCCGATTTAAAAACAAACTCGCAAAAAAATTTTTTTTTTTTTTTTTTTTGTTTTGCGCGAAGACGTTTTTATTTAAATTTCAGTTACATACTAACTTCGCTGTCGATTTTTGGGCTAGTGTCTGGGGGTGGCGTTCTAGTCACTCATTTTGTCCATAGTGAACAAACTGAGAATGCGAACCAGACAATTCTGGTCCACGATAGTGAATCTCCAAAGCCAGAGCTGGCGATCGCCGGGGCGTACACCGTTCGAATGTGTACAATAATTAGAGATAAGCGAACTTCGCAGCTCGGCCCGAGTATGTTGGTGTCTTCGGAGAGCGAGGACAGCACGCGTCGTACGCACGAACTCTGAAAGTCGCGCCGCCCAGAAGCCCTTTTCTGAAATAGTAAAAGCACGGAATGGCATCGCCTTGACCAAAACTAGTGACCAGCCGCATTTTCGACCACCGTCAAGGCAGCATGTCATGGCTGCCAAGATCAACTTCAGAAAGGGCCTCTTATCTATCGAAATTATTTGCCTATGACTAGGATAACTTGCCTTAAAATTAACGAGAAGATAGCAAAGCTACTTTCGAGCATGTATGTTTACATTTATTTTAATTAACTAAAAACATTTTTGTAGCCGTTCAAGATGACTGTCGCGGGACCGGGGCCTTTAAGGACTACTGACATGTCCTACATAGATACTTTTATGGTCTCAAATCTTATAGGTACTCATCTCATCAATACTTTATCGCCTCGCAAACAAGCTATGGTGAAACACTGCAAGAAAAACAAAATACTAAAAAGTGACGCATTGCTTGCATGCGGAGTACTGTAACGTGGCAAGGGCGCACAACAACCGCGCGCGATTGGCCGATTGGCAGACGCCAGCGCTCGTGATTGCCGTGATCTGTGAGAGCGAAAGAGAGAAAGTTAAGCGACACCTCTTCTATGAGATCATTTAAAAAGGCAAGGAGTGCATCATTTTGTCGTTAACGTCATTCTGGCGGAAGGTTCAAATCAGTATTTTTGAAAATATTTCGCTTTTTCTGGAAAGAAGTTCCCAAGTTCCCAAACCATTTTAATCGTTTGAAAAAAAAAAAAAAGATGGATGCTAGGGTTGTTAGATGCCATTTAAATTCTGCATTTCATGCATTACAGAATTTCGCAGGTGAAGGTTCTTAATTTTTCATAACCGCGGGATTCCGTCAGGGTTCAATCCTCACCCCTGCCAGTTTCGATCTGGATGAGCATCGTACCGGCGCGCGGTCGTGTATCACAACTGCGTGGTGCACGTTAAATACCCCCAGGCTAGCGGTTGTACCGCACTGGCAAAATTGCTGATCTAAAGCTGAGGGACAAGCCGCCCACTGATGCAGACCAACTTCAGGCTGTATAAACATACACACATTATTTTTTTTCAACCGAGTGAACATGGTACTTCACGTACTGTGTCTTGTTGATATTCTTACGCTATAGACGTGTCTCATTTAAATGCGAAAATGTCTCTACGTGTGCAGATGAACGGAAGCGGTGTGTGGATTGCAGTCCAACGCAACGTCACTGTGCCGGCGCGTTTCATGGAATCGACGAGCGTCGACTGCAGGCTGCCTGATCGGTCTTTCCTCTCGGAATCGGGAGTCGCCGGCCACACAACGTGGGAGATAAAGGTAGGCCTCACACGGCTGATCATCTCTCAACTGACGCTGAAGTGAAGGCTAAGAACCCAATATATGTATATATTTTTTTTTGCCTCAAACGTTTTAGAATGGGGTAACATAACAAAACGAATTGCGACGAACAAAACCGAAACCTTTAGCGCTTGCATTGACGTCACAGCAGCTGCCATCGTGACGGTGTCACTGCTGAACCAAACCTCATTGGAACCACCAAGGGTTCGCTAGGCGACCTCTTTCGCCTCAGCGCCGCCCCCGCATCGGCGCGTCGGGATTCGCCGAACAGCCTCCGCTATTGCTGGCTTCAGCATGCGCGCTAGCGTCTGTTTCTATCCAGGAGACGCTTCGTTGCCATGCTGACGGTGAGCATAGCATACCAAAGCCACAGGCGAGTAGTTTCTTTGGTGTGAAAGGAAACGGGGAAGTCAGAAGAGGTTTGGGCCTTCAGTAAGTTGACGAGTAGAAATCGCGAAAGGACCTGCTCCGGCCAGTTCAGTGTTTTCCCGCTAGGTGCCGTCCGTTTTACTGGAGTCGCAAGATAACAGGCGCTCGTGAGAAAAGAGAATCGTGTCGTGTTTTTCAGCTTTCGTAAAGTAGAACTATATGCATAAAGCTCAAACTCCGTGAAAATGTTACGCTATAGTGGTTGGGATAGAACGCGAAGTTTTGAGTACTTAACGTTACAGAAAGAGGAAATTTCTCAATCAGCCGACGGCCACCTAAGCCGCAAAGTATCAAATCAAGAAGTAAAGGTTGTGGACGCATGTGGCATTTATATCGGCAAAAAACACCTGTCAACAAGACAGTTTATTTTTTCTTGCTTACAAGTTTTCTTTACTAGACTTGATGCTACAGGCGCCCACAATGACATTTCTTGTTTTGACGATATTAGGCTTAGGGCAGGGGTCTGAGACTCATCTTAGTGTGGGAGCAAAATAGCCCACCGCCGAAGAGTCGAGGGCCAACGTAAGGCGGAAGGGGAAGTTAAAATATTCCATGAAGAAGGAACCTCGTGCTCTCTGCTTTTTGTAGACGCGCAGTTTCGCCCAGTGACATCTCTATAACTTTCATTTGTTTACGAAACAGATCAAAGGAACAAATCAGAGACTTTGGGGCCTTAAATTTTGTAATAATAAAAGTTAGAATGGCGCCGCCCCGCCGACGTGCTAACATTTTTTTTAATAAACCAAGAGAGCGATCATATTGTCGTGTCCATTACTCAGTTCACTCGCAAATAAATCGAACTTTTCATGTCTCGAAAAATAAATATTCTTCAGTGAGTTCCCGTTCTTCTGACGATTCTAATAGCAGCAATTTCAGAAAATACTTGCATTTTGCTGGTGGCATTTTCTGAAGGCGAGAATAGTAGATGAATTTCCGTAAAATGACACACAGCTAGCTGGAAAGCATATCTGAAGGCGAGAATAGTAGATGAATTTCCGTAAAATGACACACAGCTAGCTGGAAAGCATAAATTAAACAAAACACAAAGCAAATTAAAAGTTAAAGAGCAGAGCTATGTTTCGATCGAAAATGAATAGACGACGTCAAATGATAATGGCCTATGTCATTTCTAGCTCTCGAGACATGGGAACAGGAGCTCGCAGCCGGTTGCCTGCGTGCCGTGTCCCAGCGAGTGGCAGGCCGCGTGTCTGAGACCCCTGCGGCTTAGTGGGACGTCGGCTCATATAGACTTTTGGTCTTTCTTTTGTATATATTGATCCAGGGTACTGGGAGAAACAGTTATGTAACACCTGCATGACAAATATCTCCCCTCTCCCCTTCCCATCCCGCTCTTTTTTATCTCCACGAACGCGTGGTGTACCATAGGCTTGTTTCTCTCGGCCAGGGGCCGCGAGCTCACCCAAGACGCGCCCATGTAATGCTTGTATCGAGCATAAAGCGCCACTGCTGCGTTCGATCATGCACGAGACACGGACGGATTGATCACGTGACGACATGTCCGCGGTTCGTCCGTCTCCCAAGCGCATCTACAAGACGGAGACGACGAGCAGCCGCCAGCGAGGCTGGACCGAACCTTTTCGCCACCCCACAGTGCCGCAAAACTCCAATATTGCACCGTGGCACCGTTGTCCAAGAGAGAAATCGACGTTTGCTGCCGCGATAAAGAATCGTGCGCCGCTGTTCCGTACAGATCGAGACAAAACACTGTGATAGGCTTCGCGCGAAACGCCACTAGCTTTACTAACCCAAGGCATGACAGTGTCACAGGCATGGTCCTGCTCGAGAAGGGTTCGGCGTAGAAGCGACGAAGGTCTGGGCTCGCGGAGGGGCGTTTGGAGATGCCTTCACGCACTCCGCGCTCGTGCATAACACTCAAGCACACCACAGCCACAAGAAAGCTCTTGCTTGGCAAAAGCCTAATAATTATCGCGGCGTGCTAGACGAGTTTCGACGGGAGCCTCTTCACACGCACCCGGAGGAGTACCGGAACCTGTGTTGCGTCAGCCGGACAAAGTTCCTGCAGTTTCCTTCACGCGAGGAACCAAGAATCGCACGAAAAAACGGAACCAGCAAACGCACCAAACACAACGATGCGCCATTTTTGCTTTAATCGCCCAAAAACAAGTAAAAAAAAACAGAAACAAAAAACATTGTATCATTGCCAGACAAAGCGCTTTTCAAGTCAATCTCCCGCCATAAATCCGCGAGTGAAAAGGCGCTCGAATTTATCAGTCCGCACGTCCGCGGGTGAGGCGTGGGTCACAGGAATCAGTGACGTGACGGCCACGTGGTACACGGTCCGCGGACGAAAATTGCGATTCGGTCCGTCGTGTCCTGTCTAAACAGGACACCACAAACATTGTCAGGTGATACGACTCCAACAAATCGTTCGGCGCTCCGCTTCCTAACGTTTTTTGTTTTTTTTTCTCGCCGGGGGAAAGTTTTTTTGTCAAATTTCGCCCGTGTCCTCCACGGCGGCCTTGATCTGCTCATCACGTGGGTCCGGAGAGCCACTTACACGCTCTGTTGGCTGTCGGTCAATCGCTCAAGGCCTCCACCGTTTTTCAAGTCCTGAAAACGGGAAAGCGTTTCGCTTTCCTGCGGGAAGCGAAACGCACGCTTCGACGCAGAAATGCCCCGAATCCACCCGAAGCCAATAGACCTGGTAGACCTTCCAGCCGAGACGACGGCGGTAGCGACGGGGACGCCTCATTCGGAGGTCGATACAGGGCAGAGCAAGGGACAGAGTAGTAGTTTGACGTCTGTGACGTCATGTCCGGTTTTCGTCAAAAGAGAGTTATTTGTACATTCGCCGGCAATATGAAGGTGAACGCTGGACCGTCCACCGCTCCGTGCTATCAGCGCGATGACGCGGCTGCCGTGACGCCTCGCTTTCTTATCGCGATATGAAGGTGAACGCCGGACCGTCCACCGCTCCGTGCTATCAGTGCCATGACGCGGCTGCCGTGACGCCTCGCTTTCTTATCGCGATATGAAGGTGAACGCCGGACCGTCCACCGCTCCGTGCTATCAGTGCCATGACGCGGCTGCCGTGACGCCTCGCTTTCTTATCGCGATATGAAGGTGAACGCCGGACCGTCCACCGCTCCGTGCTATCAGTGCCATGACGCGGCTGCCGTGACGCCTCGCTTTCTTATCGCGATATGAAGGTGAACGCCGGACCGTCCACCGCTCCGTGCTATCAGTGCCATGACGCGGCTGCCGTGACGCCTCCCTTTCTTATCGCGATATGAAGGTGAACGCCGGACCGTCCACCGCTCCGTGCTATCAGTGCCATGACGCGGCTGCCGTGATGCCTCGCTTTCTTATCGCGATATGAAGGTGAACGCCGGACCGTCCACCGCTCCGTGCTATCAGCGCCATGACGCGGCTGCCGTGACGCCTCGCTTTCTTATCGAGATATGAAGGTGAACGCCGGAACGTACACCGCTCCGTGCTATCAGCGCCATGACGCGGCTGCCGTGACGCCTCGCTTTCTTATCGCGATATGAAGGTGAACGCCGGACCGTCCACCGCTCCGTGCTATCAGTGCCATGACGCGGCTGCCGTGACGCCTCGCTTTCTTATCGCGATATGAAGGTGAACGCCGGACCGTCCACCGCTCCGTGCTATCAGCGCCATGACGCGGCTGCCGTGACGCCTCGCTTTCTTATCGCGATATGAAGGTGAACGCCGGACCGTCCACCGCTCCGTGCTATCAGTGCCATGACGCGGCTGCCGTGACGCCTCGCTTTCTTATCGCGATATGAAGCTGAAAGCCGGACCGTCCACCGCTCCGTGCTATCAGTGCCATGACGCGGCTGCCGTGACGCCTCGCTTTCTTATCGCGATATGAAGGTGAACGCCGGACCGTCCACCGCTCCGTGCTATCAGCGCCATGACGCGGCAGCCGTGACGCCTCGCTTTCTTATCGCGATATGAAGGTGAACGCCGGACCGTCCACCGCTCCGTGCTATCAGCGCCATGACGCGGCTGCCGTGACGCCTCGCTTTCTTATCGCGATATGAAGGTGAACGCCGGACCGTCCACCGCTCCGTGCTATCAGTGCCATGACGCGGCTGCCGTGACGCCTCGCTTTCTTATCGCGATATGAAGGTGAACGCCGGACCGTCCACCGCTCCGTGCTATCAGCGCCATGACGCGGCTGCCGTGACGCCTCGCTTTCTTATCGCGATATGAAGGTGAACGCCGGACCGTCCACCGCTCCGTGCTATCAGTGCCATGACGCGGCTGCCGTGACGCCTCGCTTTCTTATCGCGATATGAAGGTGAACGCCGGACCGTCCACCGCTCCGTGCTATCAGTGCCATGACGCGGCTGCCGTGACGCCTCGCTTTCTTATCGCGATATGAAGGTGAACGCCGGACCGTCCACCGCTCCGTGCTATCAGTGCCATGACGCGGCTGCCGTGACGCCTCGCTTTCTTATCGCGATATGAAGGTGAACGCCGGACCGTCCACCGCTCCGTGCTATCAGTGCCATGACGCGGCTGCCGTGACGCCTCGCTTT